CGAGGTTGCAGCTTCACCAACACCTCTCAGGTTTCCCGTCCACCTTGGGAACGCGTTAAGTCAGAGAATCACACGTTAGTTTATTTCTTTATTTGCAGACGAGCTCACAGAAGATCTCTGTAGGTCTGATGTGGATCAGCGTTCTCCTCGGCCCAAAAACAGAGACAGAAAAGGACAAATGTAGATTGATGCAGCTGCAGAAAACAAACACGACCTTTAGTTTTGACAAAAATCTAAAAATATTGTTGAAATTACTCAGTTTAGGCCTTTTTTCTCATTAGTTTTAATCTTTTTTGTCGTCAATACAAAGTGGGTTTGTCCATCTTCGGGGTCATTTGGTTCCCTCGTGCTGCGTCACTTTCCACTGAGGTTGATTGAAACTGTTTGCGGTAGCGTTTTGAAGGCTGCACTCCCAGCTGTTTCCTCTGGATGATCAATTCATACAGACTTGATTTATTTGGCTGTTAGCTTATTGCATCGCCCTGAAATAAGGTTCATGCATCACAGAGAGTGGAAGCCTTTTGTTTTGTGTTTTTTTGTCTTTAAATCACATGAACAATGAGAGCGTCCACTCTGTGGCTCACTAATCCACAGCTTAATGACATAAATCACAATGGACACACTTGGACTTTATTGCAGCTCTCTGACCTCCTGAGTGATGAAGAAACGTCTGACTTTTATCAAATCTGCAGCAGATTGATTATGTATTTTCTGTGTATTGATATTTATATTCATGCCTGCAGCTGTTGTTTTCAGTCCGTTAATGAGCAGGGAGAAGAACTGCAGACATCACTCTTCATCCTCCTTTGACTCACTCAGCTAATGGCTGCAGCACTAAGGCATGTTTTTATATGATACTGTGATTAAATAGCCGTGAGATACTAAAGGCTTTTTTAATCACCGACCTCTTGAGTTCCCTGAGATTTCTTCAACAATTCACAACTGGCAGGATTTCCCCACTGAAGAGCAGCGGAGGGAAACACTGCATGCACACTGTTTAATCTCTACCTTCACTTATTCTGACTATTCAGAGTTTAGTTGCTAATCTGCCAAACTTTCTGTTTTCTCCTAGATTTCAGATTGGGGCTTTTTTGGGGGATTGTTGAATTGATTTGACAGAATTTCAAAAGAATTTTGATGCATGTTGCGATGTTGTTAGGCATTTTTGCAATTAAATTACAGGAGAAAGTTAAGGAAACTTTTTAGCATTTGTATAATTCATTAAAAATCAAAGTCAACTTGTTCCAGTGAGAATAAAATCACTGGTAGTTTGGTGACGTATGTTTAGCGCTGGGGACTGCTACTGCTACCAAGGTTACGGTGATTGGACAAAACTGCAAGGACGCACAAACTTCACGTAGATTGGTTGAATTGTTGCGATTACAACTTCCTGGACGGACTGAACTATGACACAGTGACTGATTTACCATCAGAGTAATAGTTTCAGACAGAAATAAAGCAGATTATTTCTTCAGTTTAAGATAGCTAGCTAATTAAGCTAACAATAGGTCCGTGAGTTGGTTGAAAATGCAATATTTTAAGCTTTCTTATTTTTACTAATTATATGTTTTTGAAAAGTAAGTGTTCACAGTGAGAAAAAAACATTAAGTATAATTAAAAATGGCAAAGACAGCTGATATTTGGGACAAAAAAATAATAGATATATGTATATATTGGAGCTTTTCTATTCAGGTTTAAATATGTACAAAACTAATTGCTCAGTTTTTTTTTAAAATGTTTTCTGTCCTTCCTGCAGGTGGTGTCGGTGTTGCGTCCGGAGGAGATGTTCGAGTGCGTGTTTACGTGCGGTACGGACTGTAAAGGGACGTCTCTCTATCCTTGCCTGCAGATCTTCGTCAACAACTCTGAGTCAAACTCGGTGGCTCTGCTGCACTTTGATGAGCAGCAGCTGGTCCTCAACCCAAAGGTACAACTTTTAATTATTCTGCGGTGGCTCGATAAACCTGCGTGTGATACCAGCGAAGTATCATCTAGGGACGGCTGCAGGAAACTACAACAAACAATTCAAGCTGTTAGTTGTCACATTTTTGAAGCAGAATTAGACAGAATTACACATCGTTGCTGAACTGAAGAGTTTGTGCTAAAGGAATTAAAGGCCTGTCCCAAATAAAGAGTTCAGTGACTAAAGCAAATAAACACCAGGTTATTATTAGAAGTTTTACGGTAATACAACAGTAGTGGATGGAAACTTGCATTAATTAGCATTTTCTTTGCTAGTTTAGATCAACATTTGCACGTTTGGATGGAAACTGACTAACGGCGTCCTGCGGTGCTGCTGTTAAAGGCAATGAGAAGAGAGAGAGTTTAGAGGACTTGTTGTCAACAGTTTGATGCTTTCTTGTATTAGTCAACTACTACATTGTTCTCATGTTGTGCAAAGAGACATTTTAAAGGTTTAGTGTTTAACACTGAGGAGGTTCAATTGCCAGAAGTTTTCGTGTTTTCCGGGAGATTTGCATCCACCGTAGTTTCTCCTACATGCTTTTAAAGCTGAGCTACAACTTTATTTTGCCACCAAATCCTCCAAATGTTCCTGTAAATGTTACGTGTAGTTCATTTCTATATGAAAATAACATCACATTATGTCAGCATGTCAAAACATAATATAATCTTATTTCTTTTCATTGCTTTTTCTAGCTGTTTCATATCAAATACACATAATAATAAGAGTTATATGTACACTATATACAGCTGTGAACGTTGCACAGGTCAGAGCTGGAGGTAAAATAAATACATGTCATTGTGCAGGACAAGAAATATACAGTAAATTGAAAGAAAGCTACTGGTTGACTGGTTGAATCAGTGTCTTTAGAGGATGAGGGCTCAATACGATGCATCAGAAATTTAAAATCTGACATGAAATGACTGAAAGCTGAAGCGTGCACAGATAAAAATGGAAGCAGCAATCTTGTGAATAGCCTGTTATTATTATTGTTGTTGTTCATTTCATCGGGAGCGTTTCAGTCTGATCGGTTCTTGTGTCGCAGCTGCCTGAAGAGCAGAAATAGACGGAGGGAGAGTGAAGCAGCGAGACACCATTAAGACTCTGAGAGTGTGAATGAAGGACTTAAAGCACCATTAACAAACAGCTGACAGTAAACACATCGCAGCTGACACCATGTGTCATCAGATCAGTTTCAGCTCCTGTTGAACTGTGGCCAAAAGTATGTGGACACCACTTTGTGTCCATGTTGGTTTGTTTTTGGCTCCAAGAGAAGTCTTATTACTTTATGGATTAACTGTAATTTAAACGGGAGAGTTGTACAGTTGTCATGAACGGTGAAAGTTCTAGTTCTAGTTAGTTCTAGAGACCAACAGGCTGTAAACATGTTTATTTCTGCTGTAAAGACATTTTAATATAAAACCTTATGAAGACTGACTCACTGCTGGAGCCAGTCTCTAGTGGCCGTTAGAGGAACTGCAGCTTCAGTGTTTTCTTCATTTGTAGGTTGCTGCTTGATAGTTTACAGATTCTGCACTAGAAACACCTTGACTGTAAACAAATAGATAATAGCAGATGTTGTTTATTTCTGTAGAAATGTCGGTTTAAGATCATCTTGCTGGGTTTCTTTCAGTATTCACACACAAGCTGCAGGTATTTTTTTATCGGACATTTCTGTATAAACTGGGATTTAAATTGCCAGTTTTCAGCCTCACTAAAGGCCACGTCCTGCCTGAAAAGAAGCAGCCTCCTCACTCTCTGAATGCAATATCATCTGGCATGAATTCATTCTTGGTACATTACATAGTAAACGCTGTGTTCCTGCTGTTTACCTCACAATCAGAGACACAAAGCGTAAAATAATTGCAGCTGTGATTGACTTTTCAGAGCTGTAAAATCCCGTCTGAGAATCATTAAAAACCTGCACAGTCACTCAAACTGGACTTTATGGATTATATTTCATTGTCTCGGCTGTTTTTTATAGTCTGAAAGCTGCTCACTGCTGCTTCTTGTGTCTCAGTGGGAGCAAATCTCTGCAGCCAGGTTGGAAATGTGATGGACAAAGCCTGAAACCAGAAGAGCTGAGCCTCATATTAACATTGTCCTCCTGTCCACATACTTTTGGCCATGTAATGTGAGGGACTGAGGAGGAGGAGGAAGAGACGGCTGGAGGCCGAGCTGGAAAACAAAATAAAAACATCAAACAAATACATTCAGTGTCCGTCCGTCTGTGGGACATCTTCCTCCTCTAATGTTCCTCTTCTTTAGTGGCACGTCTGGGTCGTCGCTACAGCAACAGAGTAAATATAGAGGGGAGAGACGGCGCGTCATCGATGCCGCTCAGTCGCCATGGTGACCGCAACAGAGATGATGTGTAGAGACTGAGAGAGAGAGAGAGAGAGAGAGAGAAGTCACGCTTCATTCAGAAATCCTTTAATGTCTAACAGAGAGAGGATGGATACTGTCTCACTCCTGAGCTCTGTGACCTTTTATATATAACTAATGAGAGGGAGATGACCTTTGAGGCTCCGCCCACTTTAAGCTCTGAGTTTTAAGAATGAAAACATCATCAACCTGTTTGTGTTCCTCTCAGTTATCGACATACAGACATATATATATCGGGAAAATTATTTTTTTTATTATTTTATTATTATTTTTATTATTCACAACTTTAATAATTCATTTAAAGTTTTCTATGGAAGTCCATTTCCACCAATGTGATCCTGTCATATCATAATAATGAGTAAGTTTCTTATTGTTATCATCATATTGGCGGTAATGGGCTTCCATAGTATACAGTTCCTTAATGCTACACAAATAGAAACAGATAATAGTCGATACTGTCGTAGAATAAGATTAAATATATTAAATATTCCCCTTTTGGAGCTGCTGTCAACTTCCAACCTCCTTTCTGCTTTATATTAATTTATAAAATCTGTTTTAATATCTACATATATCAGATGATTCGCCTATACCAATATGTCTGCGATATACTGCTAATACTGACAGATATTTTGGCTTACCGGGCTCTAATTTATACTTTTAAACTACTTTTACTTGAGTAAACTATCTCAGAACTTCTTCCACCAACACCGAATCCATCATTTAATTACATATCATCATAACTGGAGGAGATCCTCTGGTCCTACTCATCCTCTGAGCTCTGTGACCTACAGCTAATCAGACAGACAGACAGACAGATGGAGGGACAGACAGGGAGAGTTAATTGCAGTTGTGTCTAAAATGGACGTTCTTCCTGACGAACAGCTGACTGAAAGAGAGACCTGGAGTTAATTGGTGTTGTGTCTATAGGGGGCGATTAGTTAATGGAGCCGCCTGTGGACCAGATGACTGACATGACATTAAGACTGTGACACACACCAACTGTATGTCTGTATGTGTTCATACAGGCCGCCGTTAAAGGACCATTACAACTGGTTAGACAAACTTATTTAGAGGAGGAAATAAAGACAAATATTAAAATTATTACCTGAACTGTCCATTATAAACAGATCAACTGTGCCCCTCTGTAGTTACTCTAGTTGTGTTGTTTCTGCTGCATTTTACTGTGCAATGAAAAGAGGATTTTTTTTTTTGTTATTTAAAAAAATGATTTAAAATGTTTAAAATAAAATAAAAAACAAAACAAGTAAAATTTACAGTAAAATTACATTCGTTTTTAAATGAGAGAAAAGAGGATTTTATTTTTTTATTAAATGTTTTTAAATGTAAAGAAAATGAAAAGAAAATAAATAAAACTGAAAAAGTAATAAAGTAAAAAATAATAAAAATATAAGAAACTGAAATTAAAAGGGATAAAGAGGATTATTAAGCTGCTTTTAGACATTGGACAGAAACAGAATAAAACTCACGTCTCTGTTAGTGTTTCAACAATCAACCAGGACTCTGTTTGGTGGCAAATAAATCCTTAATTCACCGACGGTAGGTGCATAAAAGACAGCAGAGTTTCCACGCTCGGAGCACGACCGGGCTATAGGAGAACAAACCACCAAGAGAGGCTGCCGATACCAACACAGCGGGGGATGCACACCATGGGGTCATCTCGTCTGACTGTCTGCACTAAAATAACCACGATTACATCCCTCTGGCCGGTTTCACATGACTGCGTACCCCAGCACACTGTTGCCTTGCCTCACCTCAGTCCAATACTCTAATAAAGAGATTTAATATCTCTCTCACTCGTGTCAATGAACAGACTCTCTAATGAGGCTTATGGGGATAAGGTTATCATTTTTGGTTTTGATTTGCTCCTGTCAGGGCTGTTGCGGTTTCAAAAGCTCCCACCCGCAGGTTCAGCTACACTAATGTTGCTTTGTGGGCACTGTTTTTTACCTCGCAGATAAACCATTGCTCGGTTGCGCCATTAGGAGAATCGGGAACCTCTGGATTTGGGTTCTGGTTTCTAGCGCTTTGTCCTGCTTCCTGAGGCCCTGAAGGAGGCCCCCACCCCCGTACGACCGCTCTGATGGGCAGGAGGAAAGTATGCCCCGCTCCTCATCTTCTCTTCCTCCATCCTCACACGGCTGGGAGGGTCTAAACTCAGGTAACGTCCTCCTCCACACCATGGCTGCCCCACTGGCAGAACGGTCGTCGATG